GAATCTTTTAGATCCTAAGGAGGTTGCAAAAAGAATAAAGATATGATTATATCTGACCACTCCGTTTGAGCGAGGAAATAGAATTAGCCTATAACTCCCAAGAACGCAAGAGAAGCCGCCCGGCTAAAAAACACCAGACGACAAATCTATACTAGCGCAAAACGCCCGATTGACAAGCTCAATAGATGACGACCTACCATCCAATCAGAAAATAACAAATCGTAGATTTGATTATTAGATAGATATTTTGAAAAATAGAAAGATCGAGAAAATTCAATAATTATAATCTAGAATCGCGAATTAGATATTTTTACGATGAATATATCATCAAATCGACAAATTGACGCGCAAATAAATCGATTGATAGAGAAATTGCCAAATTCGAGAGAATATGAAATCTACGATGGATGGTAGGAATCCTGAAATTCCCGAGAATTTCAAATCTTTCGGAAAACTTAGGGATTCAAAAATCTCCGATTTTTGGCCCGGACGAGATGGCCAAAGATCTCGGATATATTTAGTCTTGCGATCTTCCGTCCGGCCGGTCTTGCCGTTTCATTTAGTTCTGTTTGGTTATCTGTGCGGCTATTCGGTCAATCGTGATCCCCATTTTTTTGGCGTTCTTGAATCTCCGATGATGAATTATTTAGGACGTCAATCTATCAATCTCTTCATATTTCGGATCGTCGTTGTTATAATTGGTCAAATTGTCGTCTCACGGTCTGTCGGTCTATGAATCTATCAACCATCTATTGATTTATCTGTCTGATCGTTTATCCTCTATCAAAGTTATCAATCTCTCACGGGCTAATATTCTCTGATATTGAAATTGATTACCAATGTATTTATCGGTCTTTCAATCTATCAATTTATCCGTCAACGGTCTAAAAAATGAGATCGCTCAGAGATTTTTCAATCCCTAATTTTTCCGAAAGATTTGAAATTCTCGGGAAATTTTAGAATTCCTATAGAAGATATTTTAGAAGAGAATTGGATAAATTCGATCTTCCACGAACGATATATCTATAGCTGACCGCGTCATTTTATTGAGATAATATCTTTAAATGATAATTTCTTAGATCTTTCAGATCTATATATCTGAATGGCATCTGAATAGAGATAAATTGACGTCTCATATTTATAATTTTTGAAAATGATTTCTCAGATCGACAGATTCAAAGAAGATAATGCTAGATAAACAAATGATAATTATGAAATCGATAAATTGATAGAACGGCCTGCAAATATTCCGACGTATTAGAGAAATTCCCAACAATCATCAAAAATATCATCAAAAGAAAATTGAAGAACCGATTATAAATGATCCGACGTATCGACGAAATTCCCGGCAAATTCATCAAAAAATCATCAATAGAAATTTGTATAAATGAATTTGAATTTTCAAATCATTTCGTAAATAGATATATATATGATATATCTATTTTTCTAAAAATCCAACAAGATCTATAGGGAATAGATTATTAAAAATCTTAAAATCGAATCTCCTTTGATTAAATGATGACCGTATGCAAATCGCATCATATTATCGAAATTTCTAATTCGTTTCTTCATGCGCTAAAATCTAGAAAAAAATCTTCTCAGATCTAGTCTTCATCTATCATCATCTGAAAATAATTTCTTTAAAAAAAGATAGAGAAAGAAACGAGATTTAGATTAAAGAAGCTCAATATCCTATTTAATTACCTTCCTAATTCTAGATATCCTTGAAAATTAATATTTCAAAATCCCAGAAGGTCAAATATAATTCGATTTGCCGATAAATTCCGCAATGAATTCATTAATAAAAATATCAATTCCCTTCATTCAGAAGATTTTGAAAATATTAATTCTGCAATCAATGAAAATACGATCAGAATTTCAGAGATGTTCGATCGATAGAATGCAATCTCGATAAATTCAATAGAATATAAATTATCGACCGAGAATTTAATAATATTATTGAAGAATCATTAAAATCTATATAAATCGATAGAAATAAGAATATATATATATAGAAATTAAATAATCAAATATAAATCCGAATATATATTCAAATAATGAAGTTATTTATATATATATTATAGAATGAAATAAATCAGGAATAATTCAGAAGCAGAAGATTCCAAAATCTTTGAGAATTTCAATTATCTTCCTCCCTCATATAATTTTCCAATCTCTATAGAATAGAGAAAATATAATCTCCTTCGACGGCCGAGCCCTCTTGTTATAATCACGAACGACGGCCCCATTTTTTGGGAGATATATCATTTAAAGAATATTGAAAATTAGAGTGGTCCTGTTGTTTGCAGCAGCGGAGCATCGTTATTGGAGTATATTCGAAGCTGATATAGAAGAAAGCAATGTGTGAAGCTCCGCATCCTATATCTTTATAGCTTGATATGCCAAATCCTGAGTAAGCGTCGATATTTTGAAATTGAGGGCTTCTAAGCTAGCAGCAGATCGAAGGAATCTTCATTGATAAAAGATATTCTTTAAATCAAAAAGGAAAAATCTCGTTATTCAAGATTTCCAAGAAATCTAATTAAATATCTTCATATTCGTTTAAGGGAAAAAGAAGGGTAATAAGATTCGACATCCGTTTTCCAGTCGTGAAATCCCGCCTCCCTCCGCCACGAATTAGACGGGAAAGAAGACGCCGAAAGAAGGAAAAATGACAACGCAGCAGCGGACCCTCAAACGAAATGAAGAAAAAATGAGAAAATGGGATGCTCTATCTGCAATCATCTATTCGCTTAAGGTCTCGTCTCCTCAGATTCAGAATCATCATATCTTGCGCGTAGGGTCCTGATATCAAATTCTATGATCATGATCCCTCAAAATAGGTTTGCAGAAATTGAATAGAACGATCATGGGTTTTGTGCGGGGTCTGATTTTTATCTCTAGCTCTCTGTAAGCATATATTCCCATATTTCTGAATCACGAAGGAAATATCTTATTTCAATATCTGATAGATAGATCTAATATTTCGAAATAAATTATCATCGCTAGCTCGGCAAAGCGAAGCAATAATTGAGGGAATTGCATATTTGGAGGGCATTATTTTATCTATAAAGATAGATTTATCGATTACGAGGATTTAGAGAAATATCTGAGACCCTACCGATTTTCTTCCCAAAAAATGATGCGGTATATTTCTATTTCTAATTGATTCTATTTCTCTAGAAAATAGAATCGATAGCTCGGAAAGGCTATTCCTTTGATATTTCATAAAACGCCATATAATAGCTATTATTCTAAATAAATATCATCAGATCATTTTATAAGAAACTCGCATAATAATGCTAACGGAAAATAATTTCATCGCTAATCATAAATGACCCATCTATAGATTCTGAAAAATTTTCATTCTCCATTTCGGATCTGTATTTTCCGCCGAATCGTCGCGCAGAGTATCCAAGAGAAAGAAATAATTCGAGATCTCGAGAGATTTTTACTTCGTGCGGCTCAAATTCTCGGGCCCAATCTTTTCGCTTCACTTGTTCTTGGTTACTCTTGGGCTAGAGCTCGCACGGCCGATCGGACGAGCGTATAAATACCAGTAAATAAATACGGACAACCTATATAGCTTGAAAAATTTCAATCCTCTATGCCGAATCTATACGTTCCCTCGAGCGATCTCGTATGCGGCCAACGACATACAATCTACGTAGAATATCGCGTCATTTGGGCGCAGATAGCCAACAAAAAAGAAATAAGCTGACATCTCGGCACCTTTTTCGTCTAGCGATTCAAAATCTCCAGCCAGAATTTCCATTTCATTTTCCTCTCTGCGGCTACTTATTGGGCGGCCATTCGGAAGAACGCAAAGAAATATAATTATCCCAAATCTATATGTTCCGCCGAATATCTACGCACGCAACCAAAGATAAATCACGTGAAAAATCGTTCCGAGGGGAAGCGCCGCGCGAACAACAATCTCCGAGATTACTGGTCGCGCCGCCCGCGCCAAAAGTCTCGTAGATTTTAGAGCCTCTAGCTTTTCTGAAGGGCTCTAAATTCTCCGAGATTTTAGAGCCCCTAGGAAGCCCGCAGGAGGCATTTTAGAGGTGAGCCGGAAAGGCTCTAGGCCGTGCGCGGTCGAAATGGCCGCAAGTGGTCGCGCCGTAATTTTGAGATATTATTGTCAGTATACATATATATAATTCTCTTGCAGAAAGAATTGCTGCTTGCAGGTTATACAGGATTTTAAATATCCAATGCTGAGTAGAAAGGAAAAATATATGAATACATATATATATATAATATGATTACTGAATATCTAGATTCTAGATATACTTCTCTAGTACTTGAGAATCCATTATATCGTATATATCTTAATTATATATGAAAACAGAGTAGCTCTCTAATTAGGAAGCCTCTCAGGTTGTTTTGTCTCGCGTGCCAAAAAGGTCTATTACAGGAGAAGTGGGTTCCTCTGCCTCCGCCGTGGCCTTTTCTGATGGGCGCGTTGCCTTGCCCGCTGGGACAGCAAAACCCTCCAGTACTTAAGCCTATAAGTTCGTGTCTTGGAATGCAATACGACTTGTCTATGTGAACGATCATCTCCTGTACTGCCGGGACTTGGTGGCTGTACTGCACGCGCGTTCCGCTGAGAGGTGAAACCTTAAAAATTCATCAGCAACAAGTTGCAGCCTGCCACAGCCATCGATGTAGGTACACACTCGCTAAAAGGAACCTTTGCAATCACGTATGATATGATGGGTAAAGATTGAATTGGTATATCCTGCTCTGACCATTGGGAAGGCTTCCGACCAACGCCGTGCAGCTCAATATGCAGCCAGCGCTGTCGGATGGGCTGTGAACTGTGCAGGCAGTTGCTCGGGCGAAGCATCTGCTTGCTGTCCCGTCCGTGCACCAATTTGGTTGTCACCAATCTATCAGCATTTCGCACGAAGAATAATCGTGGAAAAGTCTGACAAGGCGAAACATTAGCCCCATTCTGACCAGCCAGAGCCACGCTTCCACACCTCTGCCGCATCCTACTGCAGCTGACGCAGTATACCAGGATCATGGGCTCCTGGTCGGGATGTCTCCAAGTCCACCTGTGGTGGAAAAAAGAACTGCGGGCCTCAGCAAGCAGCAATACAAGTTCTGTCTTGTTCACGCTGACGCTGTCTATTCTACCAGGACACGTCGGTTGGCATCTGGCTCAAATGTGATTTCGGAACCACTAAAGTGTTGGAGGAGGCCTGCATTCAAGTCGAGCTTCAGGCTGACAAGATGCCATGCGGTCTAGCATGTTGAAAACTCCACACAAAAACAAGACAGTTGCTGAAGCACCAAGCCTTCCCAGCCCTGGATGCCTTGGTGTTCAACACAAACAGGTCTGCATGCAAGCAGGGTATTGCACGGACAGAGTGAATTCAGCCAGTCTGCGTGCGAAGTTGACCTGCATCTTGCGGTCAATTCGAGCTCCAATGAAATTCCCCAGCTGCATGAGATTTCTGCACAGACGCACAACATCTGCTGGTTCCTCCGGGAATGAAGAAAGCAAGCTTGAAAGGGGCAGAGCTGAGGACCAAGGGCAGGCATATGCATGGTGAGATGACCAAGCCTGGAAATCCATGAACACATATCCTTGGCGAGGTCTGCTGAGCATGAGCTGTACGGCAAAATTGGATCAAATCATTCCAAGTTGCCACAAGGCCGGTTTCGTGAAACATCTATCGGCATATAGAAAAACCTGAGTTGCCCGAAACAACTGCAAGTCGGCCTCGGCCGTCGATTGGAAACTGAAGCACATCAGATTCAAATCCAGTTGTAAGCAGTCTAGCTACTATCAACTTGGACTTGGGTAACCATTGATACAAAAGCTTCCCAACAGACCAGCGCACGCTGGTGCCCCACTCGTCACTGCGGACTGATGTTTGGCAGCATCAAGGAGCAGACTGTAACACGCTGCAAAGTAAATGTGAGATTCTGCAAGGCCTCAAGAACGTTTTCAAGGCCCGAATTCTCAACCCTGAGGCAGGGCAATGCTTCACTAAAGTTTTCGTCGCCACTCCTGCCTCAAAAACAATTCTGGCTATGTGATCTATGAAAGCCTGGCAGTGCTATGCTCCTCGCTGGCTGATAATGTGTATGTCTAGCTGTTGGATGAACTCCCGGATGTTCCTTGATCGGGCTGTTATGGAGGGATTCTGAGATTTTTTTTTTTTTCGTGGCGTGTAGGGTCCAACGGACTCCGCCCAAAATTGGCGAATGAATTCTAGGTGAAACAGACTCCAAGCTATGGAGGGTTGTGCCACCAACACTGGGAAGACTCGCGATGTCCCTCCTTCACATGCTCTTGCTCGTACTTGTCCACCCATGCAAGCGTTGTATGCGGAGGGCGATACTTGCTGGCA